TAGTGGTATCTCAGTGAGGTCTTAATTTTCATTTCCCTAATGACTAATGATATTGAACATCTTTTCATGTGCTTATTTACCATCTATTATCTTCTTTAGTGAAGTGTCTATTCAAATTTTTTGTCCATTTTTCTATTGGATTATTTGTTTTCTTGTTATTGTGGTTTGAAAGTTCTTCATACGTTCTAGATAATTTTTTTAAATCAGATATAGAATTTGCAAAGAAGCACAATTCTATGCTAACAGTTATTTTATCTCAAATCTTTGAAGTAATTTTTCTGCTGTCTTCTGGCTTCCATTATTGCTTTTGAGAAGTCTGATTTGTCTGTTCTCTCTGACTGATTTTAAGACCCCTTTGTCTTTGATATTCTGAAGTTTCATTATGATTTGTCTAGTCCTAGATTTAAAAAAAAAATCCTGTTTAGTATAAGCTATTCCTTACTGGGCCTGTGGATTCGTATTTTCATAAATTCCAAAAATCTTTCACTTACTATCTCTTTAAACATCACCTGTTCTTTATTCTGTTTTCTCCTTGAGAAAACCTATTAGACAAATATTGGACCTTTTTACCTGTCTTCTATGTATCCTAAATCACTTTCATATTTTCCATCTTATTTTCTCTTGCGCTACATTTTGGTTAGTTGCTTTGAGTATATCTTCCAACTCATCTTTCTCTAAGTTGCTGTTTAACATATCCACTGAGTTTGAAATTTTAAGTAATTACATATTTTTCCAACATTTTGTTATGACAGCTTTCAAACATAAGTGAAGTTCCATGAATATTACAGTGAACACTTACTTGTATACCTACCAGATTCTATCATTAGCATTGTATTATACTTTTTATATTTCATATCAGTCCATTCCTCTATCCACCCATTAACCTGTCTTCAAATATTTTTTTTTTTAATTTTTAAATGTTACATTTGTTTTTCCCCTAATCTGCCTGCTCATTTTTATTACATCCTTGTTATTTGCTTGTCTTTGTGATTAGGACCTCATTTCTTTAAAACTTTTACATAGTCCTATATTCTGTATCAGATAATTCCAAAACCAGCAACAACTGAGTACCTAAACCTGTTGTTTATTGTTTCTGCTGAATTTCATCCATTGTGGCATGCCTTTTTTGTTTCTTTGTGATCTTTGATAATGAGCTCATTTCTTGATCATAATCCATGAGAGTCCTTTAGGCCTGAATTGGAGTAGATTCCCTGTAGAAAACATTTACTTTTTCTGCTTCAGTAGACATGGGAAGCCATTGACATACAATTATTTCAGCTTCCCTTGACAGTCTTGGCTCAGTGAGGAAGTTTAAGGGTGAACTGCCTTACCTTCTTACTGGTCTAAGATCCAGTGTATTGATAGCTGTCATGGATTGAATTGTGTTCCCCAAAAATATGTGTATCAATTTGGCTAGACCGTGAGTCCCAGTATTGTGTGGCTGTCTTCCATTTTGTGATTGATGTAATTTTCCTATGTGTTGTAAATCCTAATCTCTGCCTGTGTTTAATGAGGCAGGATTGGGTTATGTTGAAGAGGATTAGGGTGGGATGTAACACCCTTTCTCAGATCACATCCCTGATTCCATGTAAAGGGAGTTTCCCTGGGGTGTGGCTGCATCACCTTTTATCTTACAAGAGATAAAAGGAGAGAGAAACGAGCAGAGAGTTGGGAACCTCATCCCACCAAGAAAGCAATGCCGGGAGCAGAGTGTGTTCTTTGGACCAGAGGTTCCTGTGCTGAGAAGCTCCTCGGCCAGTGGAAGATTGATGACAAGGACCTTCCTCCAGAGTCGACAAAGAGAGAAAGACTTCTCCTGGAGCTGAATTAGGATTTGTAGCCTACTAGACAGTGAGAGAATAAATTTCTCTTTGTTAAACCCACCCACTTGTGGTATTTCTGTTATAGCAGCACTAGATAACTAAGACAATAGCAATCCTGCCATTGATACCTTCCCTCAGAGCAACTCCACCCCTGTTGTTTGTCCACTGCTCTTATTCCAACCTCCCAGGTGCTCTGACCTCATTCAAGTTGTGTGTGTGTGTGTGTGTGTGTGCGTGCGTGCACATGCGCACTCGTGTGCTCGCATGCATGTGAGAGAGAGAGAAAAAAAAGGATCCTTCTTAGAGACCTTCCTTATCCACATCAACACCAGTAATGTTTTAAAGTGTGCATCCTGTCCAGTGTGTACTTGTTCTGTAGAGCACTTCAGTAAGCCATAGTGTCAGAAGCAGAAGTCTTCAAAAAATACTTTTTCATGCATTAAGAAGTTATAAAATTTAGTTTTGTGAAATAATTTTTTATCCTATTTACATCCTAAACCTTAAAATAGATTTATGAAAGCATTTATTTATTTATTTTGGGGGAGGCATTTAGGAAGGTTTCTAACAGTGATGGTGTAATACTTTTTAAAAAAGCAATTAAAAAAATAAACTTTTCATTTTAGAGTAGTTTTATACTTACAAAAAGTTGTAAAGATAACACAGAGAATCCTATATATTCCACGCTCAATTTTCTCTATTGTTAACATCTTACACTAGTATTGTCACAAGTAATGAACCAGTATTGACACATTATTATGAGGTAAAGTTTATAACCCATTGCTGTCAAGTTGATTTTGACTCATAGGACCGTATAGGACAGAGGAGAACTGCCCCATAGGGTTTTCAAGGCTGTGATCTTTATGGAAGCTGACTGCCACATCTTTCTCCCACGAAAGTTTATACGGTATTGAAATTTCCTTCGTTTTTAGCTAATGTCCTTTTTCTGCCCCAGGATCCCACACAGGATACCACATAAATTTATTCATCATGTCTTCTAAGGTTCCTCTAGAATGTTATAGTTTATCAGATTTAACTTGTTTTTAAATGACTTTTGACAGTTTTGAGGAGTACTGGTCAAGTGTTTTATAGAACATCCCTCAACTAGGGTTTGCCTGATGCTTTTTTTTCATGATTAGACTGCGGTTATGGGTTTTTGGAGGTCCCTGGGTAGTGTGAGTGGTTTGCAATTTGCTGCTAACCTAAAGATTGGTAATTCTAACTCACCCCGTGGCATCATGGAAGAAAGGCCTGACAGTCTGCTTTGCATAAAGATTACAGCCAAGAAAACCCTTTGGAACAGTTCTACTCTGTAACACATGGGGTTGCCATGAGTTGGAATTGACTCAATAGCAATGAGTTTATGGGTTTTTGGGAGGAAGATCACAGAGATAAAGTGCTATTTTCAACACGTCATGTCTAGAATACATGCTTCCAATGTGACTTTTTATTGTTGATGTTTACCTTGATCACTTGATCAAGGTAATGTCAGGTTTTGCCACTGTAAAGTTATTCTTGATTTTCCCCTTTCATATTGTACTCTTTAGAAGGAAGTCACTATGCACAGCCCACACTTAAGTTTTGGGGAGTTATGTTCTACCTTTCTGAGGAGGGAGTATCAACTAAATTGTTTGGAATTATTCTGCAAGGGAGATTTATCTATTCTCTGTATTCATTCATTCACTTATTTCTATTTATTCTATTATTTATTTATATCACCTTGGATTCATGGATATTTATTTTATACTTTGGGTTATAATACAATACTATGCTGTTTATTTTGTTGCTCAAATTGCTCCAGATTTGGCCACTGGCAGCACTTTCATCTAGTCTTGTGTCTCTGACAGATCCTCATTAGCGTTTTCTTACTTTCTGGCACTACAAGATGTTCCAGGCTTATGTTTTACATGTCCTGCCCTAGTCCTAGAATCAGCCATTTCTCAAGTAACACTGGTTCCTTTTATTGGAGAATGGTATTAGAAACCAAGTTCGTGTGCTGGGTACTCATTGCTACTGAGGTGTCATTGCTTTTAGGCTCTCCTAGCAGGAAGATCGAGGAAATTTAGGTGTGTATACTAATCTGTGTATATACATGTATCTGTAATATTTCTATATGTATCCATCTTTATCTATATTAAGCTAAACAGGAGTTCATATTGATGTCTCCAACTCTAATCCAGTATCATGTGAATCATTCTCACCTCCTCCTTCCCCTTACTAGTCTGTAACATTTCACTCCAACAGTGAGAAACCTGGCTCTCACCATCCACTATCCATTTACTTAATTGTTCAGTTTCAGTATACATATATAGTGGTTCCAGAATTGTTAACCTGTACCCCCACGAGGAACAAATTTACCAACTAGAGTACAATGCTTATTTGTATTTTCTTTGCCTTTAGTTTTACAGTTTCTGCTTATTTAGGATGTTACTTAGATCAGCACCTTTTTTTCCCCACTCCTTTTAGTGTAATAATTTCATGTTTGTAATACAGTAAGATTATTTTGTTGCAGTCTGCATTTTATCTTGAACTCCTCTGACCTTCTAAGTAAATTTAAAAATTTTGCATACATTCAGGTTCCCTGTTTGTGCTGTAAAATCCTGTGGGTTTTGATAAATGCTTTGTGTCATATGTCCATCATTACAGTATCATTACAGAATATTTTCATTACCCTGTGCTTTACCTGTTCAACCGTTTTCCTCCATCCCCAAACCCTGGCACTACTGATCTTTTTACTGTCTCTCTTGTTTTGCTTTTTTCATGATGTTACATAAATGGTGTCATACAGTATGTAGCCTTCTCAGACTGGCTTCTTTCACTTAGCTGCAGGCACTTAAGAGTCATCAATGTTTTTGCATGAACTGATAACATTCTTTCTTACTACTCAACAGTATTCCATTGTGTGGGTCTACTACAGTTTATCTATTCCCCTATTGAAGATATTTGGTTGCTTCCAGTGTTTTCAATTATGAGTAAAGCTGCTATAAACATTTGAATGCAGATAAAAAGTAAATTTTCAGGATTTCCTCTGACTACTTTGGTTGTTTTTTCTTTGAAATATGTATTTATTTAATTCTTTTAATCAGGAAAATTATTCATATACACACATATGCAGAAGCTATTTACAAATGCATCAATCATGTGTAATATTTTGGTTCTTTCTTTGTATTTTCTTTACAGATATTCAAGAATTTTATGAGGTGACATTGCTAAATTCTCAAAAAAGTTGTGAACAGAAGATAGAAGAAGCCAATCAAGTTGTACAGAAATGGGAGAAAACATCCTTTCTTGCTCCACACCATGATAGCCTTCAAAAGTCTGCAGAGGTATACTGTTTAAACTTCTGAAAGAAATGAATAATATGATGACATGCCTACGTGCCAATAAAGAAACAGTAGCCGCCGCAGCAGTAATATTAGTAGTAATCATCATCAGTATAACAACATCATAATAGAAATGTAACTATACCACACCATAGGCTCTTCTCATATATGAAAATCCAGATTTTGCCAAAAGGTAAAATAGAATATAGAGAGGACATGATTCTTCATATTATAAAAGTGGATTCTGTTATGAATATTGTCATAGTTTGAGGTGAACCAGGTCTAAGGTATTCTAGAATTTTAGAAAATAATTCCAGGTATATTAGGTGAAGGAAAAGGATAGTGAGATAGGAGAATATGGTTCAAGGCCATGTTCTCCCTCAAAACCAGAAACCAGTTGCCGTTGAGTTGATTCCAGCTCGGGCAGGGAGTTATGTTCTACCTCTTTGAGGATGGAGTATCTACATAAATTATTTGAAATTCTTCGTCGAGGGAGATTTAGCTATTCTTTTCATTCATTCATTCATTCATTTGCTTATTTATATTTATTTAATTGTTTATTTAGGAGTCCCTGGGTGGCACAAATGGTTAAGCACCCAGCTGCTAACTGAAAGGTGGCAGTTCAAACCCACCCAGAGGTGCCTCAGAAGATCTGCTTCCTGAAGGTCACATCCATGAAAACCCTCAGGAGCACAGTTTTACTGTGAAACATACAGGGTTGTCATGAGTTGGAACTGACTCCACAGCAACTGTTGATCTCTGTAGTGGCGGCATATATACTAGGACATGAATAAAATGATCCATTGCGGTGTGGAAACAAAATAGTGGAACTCCCATTTATATTTCTTTTTATTGCATTTTTTACAATTTCCTATGTTTGTGTAATTTATATTGCACAGTATATTAATAGCAATGCATATGTATTTTAAAAATAAATATAGAGCTATTAGAGGTGTATGCCCAAATGGTTTTTACAGATAGGATTGTGGGATAGAAAGTTTGGATACTATTGGTGGAATTAATAGTAACCAAAGAGTAAGGCAAGTTCAGGCATGTCTCAGGTTCATAGCTGAGGGTTCATATGGAGGCAGGGGCACATCAGTGATCTTTTTAAGTGGCAGTCAGTACTTTGAAGGCAAGTAGTAGTAATACACACACATATATTTTTTTGAGGGGAGATATATATATATGTACATATACAGCTATATACATATACATACACACACACACACACACATATACACACATATATATATTGATATAGACTATCAAGTTTTGGGTTGTGTAGCCAATGCAGAAACTTAGAAGCTACATGGACTCCTAGTGCTAATTAATGGCACCCTGAACGCTGAATCTGTGGGTAGTTAAGATTGAGATCTCTGATATACTTTCTGCCCTTCTCAGGGTTGACCTGGAAATGATAAGACTGAGTCTAATGACCATCTTAGTTACCTGAAGTGAAGTTAGCAGTAACCATAATTGGTAAATTAATATATACCAACTATGTGAAATTTATAAAATACCTAAAAGCATACAAATGAAAGTAAATCCTAATTTCAACATATAGAAGTAGTTAATTTGACTGTTTAGTCTTTTTCTGTACAAATATATGTATATAAAATAGCATTCCCCATATACTATCATTAAATATTTTTTGAAAGTATTTTTAATGGAAATATAGTAATTATTATTTGGTACTTATTTAAACAGTATCTTAGTTATCTAGTGCTGTTATAACAGAAATGCCATAAGTGAATGGCTTTAACAAAGAGACATTTATTCTCTCACGGTCTAGGAGGCTAGAATTACAAATTCAGTGTGTCAGCTCCAGGGGAAGGCCTTCTCTCCCTGTTCGCCTAGAGTATAGAGACGACATGATTCTTCATATTATTCTTCATTCTTCATACTGTCATCAATCTTTCCCTGGGTCTAGGAGTTTTTCAGCTCAGGGACCGCAGGTCCAAAAGACACGCTATTCTCCTGGCTCTTGTTTCTTGGTGATATGAGGTCCCCGTGTTCTCTGCTTGCTTCTCTCTTTTATATTGTAAAAGAGATTGATTTAAGACACAACCTAATCTTGTAAATTGAGTCCTTCCTCATTAACATAACTGCCCCTAATCCTGCCTCATTAACATCATAGAGGTAGGATTTATAATACATAGGAAATTCACATCAGATCGCAAAATGGTGGAAAACCATACGATACTGGGAATCATGGCCTAGCCAAGTCAACACAGATTTTTGGGGACACAATTCAATCCATAACAAGCAATTTTTCATTCAATATTTAGGCTATTTCCAATTTTCTGCTACGAATAATGCTATAAGGATCATCCATGCGTATAAGCCGTTGTATCTTTTCTGATTATTCATTACAGTGAATTTTAGAAATGAAATTACAGAGTCAAAGCATATGGAAATTTTTAAGGCCCTTGATACAAACTGTCAGTGTTTTGCAGAAAGACACTACCACCAGTGTTTGAAAATGCTTATCTGCCTATACCCTAGTGGTAGTAATTTATAATTTTAAAATATTTTGTCAAATTACAGATAAAATTTTTAGTTGCCTTAGATTACATTTATTTGCTCATTAATGAGACTGGGTTGTTTTTCTTCTTATTACTGGCTATTTATATTTCTTTTGCAATTCACTCAAGCTCTTTGTCATTTTTATTGTTTTGCAAGAGTGTTTTATATATCAAGCATACCAACCCTTTGTCATAATTGTTGCATTTTTTGTAGTTTGCTGATTGCTATCAATTTTGTTTATAGTGCTTTTGGACATTCAAAATATTTTTAATTTTTATGTGATAAAATCTGTACATTTTTTTCCGCTTTATGATTTCTTTTTTGCTTTGTATTCAGAAAGTCCTTCCCCATCCCAGAATTAGTTAAGTGTTCTCCTATATTTTTTCTAGGCTTTTATGGCTTTGTTTTTTCTATTTTTAAATTTTCAAAAATTATTTTTGTTCAATTTCTGGATTTATAGTCCTTCACATATACATAATTTTACATAAAAGCATAAATGTCATAAAATACATTTTATTTCATTCTAAATGCAGTTCCTTAAAAATTTTTTTTCTATTTTTGCATATCTCCCCTTTCACTCACTTCTTGCCTGATGCTTGCGTAAACTCTACCCTCCCCATGTACACAGTAACCCATGTTAACAACTTAATGTTCTCATTCCTTCTGTACTTACAGAAAATATACTGCAAACTATATACATGTAAATAGGATTTTATGTACATGTATTTGCTGGAGCATGTACACACACACACACATATACACAGAGAGAGTTTTTTTTGGTAATTATTTAAAAAATGTTGATATTATATGAACATTTCTTCAAGTTGACTGAAATAGCTTAAATTTGTTTTTTGATGAATATATAATTTCATAATGAGGGCGTAACATAATTTAGCCAGTCCTTCGCCTCTTGGTAGGAATTCATTTGTTTTCAGTTTTCTGTCCTCACAATTAATACTTCAGTCATCATCCTTGTATGTATAGTCAAACTTACTAATGTTTTTATTCTAAAGCATGGAGTAGCGTTGTTGGCTCCAAGAGTGTGTATGCGTTTAATTTGAAAAAGTTTAGCCCCACTGATTTCACATTTGATAGTTCCATTGGCAATACATGCGTATGCCAGTTTACCTCACATCCATGCCAGAAGTAGGTGTTGCAACTCTTCTTAATTTTTGCCAGTTTAATAGGTATAGTGGTATTTCATTTTTAACTTAATTCCCAGTTCCCAAACTACTAGTGAATTTGAGCATTGTTTCATGTCTGCTGGCTATGTGAATGCACTCTCATATTCTTTGCCCATTTTTCTATTTGGATATCTTTTCTAGTCAGTTTGTATGGGCTTTTTGTATATTTAAGTGATTCAATTTACACAGTATTACTATATAATGAGTTTCTTAGGGGAAAAGATTTTGCATGATATACACAAACTGATATACACATGTAATGCCTTTCATTTATGATTCATATCTTTTCTTCAAATGTATCAGATAGGTCACTCATTTAAAAAAATTTAGGATGTTTTATCATTTATTGTCTAAATGATTATTCGATTGAATTCATACAGATTCGAACTTTTAGTCTGCTTATGGACAGATGCCATCATTATAAGGATGAATGATGAGAAAAAAATCCACATGAATATAAGCTTATTTTTAATTAATTTATTTTTATGAAAATATACACAGCAAAGGATACATCATTTCAACAAATTCTACATGTATAATTCAATGACATTTTTCAAGTTTTGTAACTTTTCCAAATTATTCTACCACTATTAACATAAACTCACTGCCTCCCTAAGCTTCTCATCTAGACTTTCAAGATGCTGTTGTCAATTTGATTCCACATAGATAAATCTTTTTTTTTTTTTTAAATTATTGCACTTGAGATGAAGATTTACAGAACAAGTAGTTTCTCATTAAACGGTTAGTATATTGTTTTATGACGTTGGTTAACAACCCCATGACATGTCAACACTCTTCCTTCTCAACCTTGGGTTCCCTATTAACAACTTTCCGGTCCCCTCCTGCCTTCTAGTCCTTGTCCCTGGGCTGTTGTGCCCCATTAGTCTCATTTTGTTTTATGAGGCTGTCTGATCTTTGGCTAAAGGGTGAATCTCGAGAGTGACTTCATTACTGAGCTAAAAGGGTGTCCGGGGGCCATACTCTCAGGGTTTCTGCATTCAGTGTCAGGCAGGTAAGTCTGGTCTTTTTTGAGAGTTATAATTTTGTTCTATGTTTTTCTCCAGCTCTGTCTGGGACCGTCTGTTGTGATCCCTGTCAGAGCAGTCAGTGGTGGTAGCTGGGCTCCATCTAGTTGTACTGGACTCAGTCTGGTAGAGGCCATGGTACTTGTGGTCCATTAGTCCTTTGGACAAATCTTTCCCTTGTATCTTGTTTTCTTAATTCTCCCTTGCTCTCAAAGGGGTGAAACTCGTGGAGTAGTATCTTAGATGGCTGCTCACAGGCTTTTAA